TGTGCTTTCCAACTTCCATAATTATATCTGTATTACTTTCTTCTAGAAAATAATGCCCATAGGTCTGACAAGTTCCTACTTATATCTTCCCAAGAAAACCTGTATCACCTCCTCCAAGAAAACTTCCCTACCGCACATAAGTTAATTATTCCCTTTTCCACTCTCTTAGCACTTGTACAAACACCCACTATTACTTCTCACCCTCTAATTACTAGTCCGCAGACATATCTTTCTTTATAAAGATATAAGTTATCTCAAGCAAGACCTTAATTATTATCTTCAAGGGCCCATAGTAGATACCCAAATGTTTCTTAAATTAGTCTGTTGCCTAAATACAATTTTTCTTTGGGCTCTAAAAAATTATATTTCTATATTCTAAGAAATTTCCTGTCTATCTTCATCGTGATTATCAAAAGAAACAGAGATTCAATATAAGTAAACAGTACCTAGCTTAGTTCTCACTTTTATTCATAAAATACCAAGGCATCAAAGCAAAGATTATGTCCCTGTAATGTGTAACATCTGCAATGTCAATACAAACAATATAAGAAAACTGAAGAGATGGTAATCAAATCTAAAAGTTCAGAAATCATTAAAAAAAGACCTAATTGTCTCTGCAATTCTACTTAGTTTCTGTTTATTTAAAACACAGATGTGCATTATTACAAATGAGAATTTTAATTAAAACCACTAATTCATTACTACAATGAGGATTTTAATTAAAAAAGCCACTAATTCATTATTACAAATGAGAATTTTAATTAAAACAACCACTAATCCCTTTACAAAGGTAGGTCCCATACAAAAAGAACATCAGTGAGTGGTTATCTCTGATGGCAGAATGCACAGGTTATCTTTCAAACACTTCACTATCATCTAGTTTTTTGTAATGCTATATATCACTTTAGCAACCAAAAACTCTAATGAAAAATCTGACATGCCATGTTAGTTTACGTTAGTTAGGGAAAAAAGTTTAATTATGAGACTATTTTAATATATTTATTATTCTTACCAGATTTTAGACCTGAAATTTTGAAGATGGCACTTGGTTTTCCATTTGTGACAAATCCTAGGAGTTGCCATACTGGCATTCCATTTGAATCAGGATAGGAAAAGTAGACAGATCCTCCCATCCCCTCAGGAAATGGGATGGTTCCCAGCATAAAAACCACTACACGGTTGATATTTTCATAATCAGGCAAGTCAAAAACAAACTTATCCTCTGCCACTTGCTGTGCTGCTGTTTGTACCTAGAAGATAAGAAACTCTCCTTAGTTCAATGTTTTGATGAGTTTCTCTAACCCATACAGTACTGCTGTAAACGCCATCAGTAGGTATAGTAGATTACAGTCATTATACCAACTACAATCCGAGAATCTACCTATGGAATTCTCAAATAATACCAGAGTACTTATTTTAATAATAAAAAAAAACCCACATAATTAGCTGCAAAATGATCACTTAATAAATACATCAATCTTTTATAAATGTAGCTTTACTTCAAAAGTGCCTGAAGGCATTCTAAACACATAAACAAATCATTATGGTTTCAGAATATTATAAAAAGTTGCTCAAAATAGGGCCCTCCCTGGTGGTGCAGTGTGTTGGAGTGCTGCACTATGAAGTTAAGCCAAGTTTTGGCTGCTTCAATGCCAGTTCAATTCCCACCAGGGAGGTGATCCACATAGGCAGCAGACCTCTCCATTTCTGGATGAATAAATAAAATCTTACAAAAAAAAAAAGTTCACCAGAGATTTATGCTTTAGCTTAAGGATAAGTACCCTTAGATTACTAAAATAGGTAAGCAATCCAGAAGCAAGTACAATCAATCCTCATTATTTTCACAATCAGTATCTGCTAACTTGCCTACCTAGTAAAATTTGTTAACTCCAAAATCAATATTCACTGAGCTTTTGCATTCATTCAGACATGTTCATGCGCAGAGTAGAAAAAAATTTTAGTTACCTGATATGCATGTTCCCAGCTGAGGTGGAACAAAGCTATTCTATGCTTATTAGCTTCAGCTCTCATCCTATAAACAAATGTCCTTCTAAGTCTCTTTAGGGCCTCATTAGGTTAATTTTCATTTTCCAATGATTTTGTTCCTTAAAATAGCCAACCTGAAAAGCTGACTACTGTTTCTAAGCCCAGGAAAGGTGTTGAGTTGTTTAGACAAGAATTACAGTGCTTTTGGCTGTGAATTCAATGTTAAGGAATCAACATTACATATTTTAAAATGTATTTTTAAACAGAAAGGTTATGTAACGGTAGACTGATTAAAATGAGATCACAGGCTTCCTCTATGGGCAATAATTTGGCATTTACCAATTAAGTATTCAGTGTGACTTTATAAAACAAAATCACTGTGAATGAGTCACAGCAATCAAAAAAGGACAGAAACTGGTGCCATTTGCAGCAACATGGATGGAGCTGGAAGGGATTATTCTAAACAAAATAGCCAGGAGGAAAAGGTAACTATCAGATGGTTTCACTTTTGGTGGAATAGAGAATCGGAACAAAGGGCCAGGAAAAAGAAAACTTGCTAGTTGACAATAGATTTCAGGCATACAGTGGGGGAGGGAAGAGCACAAGGGACTAAGATCACAGGTGCTATGGTAGTGGGAGAAAACAATTACTGTTCAAAAATTAACATGGGGGCCCTCCCTGGTGGCTCAGCGGGTTAAAGCACAGCTCTAAGAAGCTAAAAGCCACTTCAGCATGAGTTTGATCCCTGCCCAGAGATGATCCACATGGCGCCACAGACCTCTCCTACCCCTTCCCCTTCTCCCCTCAGCAGTGTACTTGTCAGAAGGTCTGTTCTGCTCCCCACTCTGGTGAATCCTTTCATGGCCCCTGCACTTCTGGCCTGTACCCCAGTTCTGAATGCATAAATAAATCTTTAGAAAAAAAACAAGGGTGTGGACCTCCCTGGTGACAAAAGGGTTAAAGTCTCAGGGCTATCAAGCCATCACCAGACAGTTGCATGAGTTCAATCCCCCAGCAGGGAGCTGACCACATGGTTCAGCACACTTCTTTCTCACCAGCTGCCCCTCTCAGCAGGGTATTTCAGTAGATCTACCTGTTCTACATCCCACTCTGTCTCTGGTGAATCCTCTTGTCCCAGCACCTCTGGTCTACACCCAAGTTCATGCATGTATAAATAAACATTAATGATATAAAGAAATTAATTTTAAAAATGAGTCAGCTATACATAAAATGCAAAATTTATATTTTGAATATACTAAGTTGGAACTTACTTCTTTTTGTTCACTTCATAATCTAATTCCCTGTTTCAGAATTAAATGTCAATTCATAGAATAAGGTCTTATTTTCATTTTAAGGGAATGGAGACTGATGTAAAAAATAAATTGAAAAAGAATGAGATCTTATTTTGAAATCTGAGAAATAAACTTTACAAGAAAATTTCTTTTTATACTTTTAGGAATAATTGATAATTACTAAATCACATCCATCAATAAAAAGAAATAACAGTTCTTCTAAAAGTACACTCAGGTGGACTGACTGAACAGTTTACCTTATCTAAGGTTTTTTGGTTTTGTTTTTTAATGGCTACTACCACTCTATTCACGAAGCTATCAATTCTAAAATACGAATAATATATCTTAAGACTCTAAATGGACAATTTTTACTTACCTTCTTCATTTTCTTTCCTATATTCTTTCTAAAATTTTTACTTTTTTCCTCTATAATATTCTATCTACAGGTAAAAAAATATAGAGAGACTACTATATGTAACTGCATCTATTTACTGGCAATCAAGCAATATGAACACCCCTAAATTTGCTCCTAAGAGATGATGAGTATTATTTAAAGTAAGATTTGATTTCCTCTTCTGAAGTTTTTGATCCAATTGAAAATACTTCAGTATAGAGAGCAAAACAAAGGAAGAGCACAAACAAATCGAATTGCCTATAAAAGTATTAAATTCAGTGTCACCAGTTTCTAGCACACATTTAACCTTAAAACATGAAAAATTGTAGTATTTGTAAGTCTTGAATAAGGAAAAATATTTCTTAAATGTCAATTCTGTACAAACACCAAACATTCTGTACGTCTGTATTAGAACACTCTAACACTGACCTTTAAAACAAAAACAAAAACTTAAAAGAAAAATTTCACAGAATTAAAACTGAACCCTTGTTAAATGGATTTTTCTAGTAGGAGAATGTTTTGAGATTTGCTAGATCTACTTGTCCTTTGTTTTTATTAGTGTTTTCCAGTACTCCAAAACAGTCAATAAAGGGATTACAACATTTAATAAAGCAGGGATAAAGAAAAAAAAAAACAACAACAACTCTAAATGAAAGGAGTTAGGTCCGAAATGGACTTCTGGGTGGTTTCTAAGGAAGGCAAGTCATATTCACCCTCCAAAATTATTCCTTAACAATTTCAGGTGCTGATCTCATTTCTTTCAAGTAATCTTGCAAGATGATTATCGCTTTTGACCAAATAAGGAAACCACTATTCACGTCCTTGTGGGTCATATCAGAAATTATTTACTGGCGTTTCCACCAGCCCACTCTTATACCCAAGCTTATTTTCACTAGGGTCTTTCTAAAAGGAGCCCTCAAACATTGTCCGCGCACCTTAAACTTGGGGGGAAAGGATGTTACAGACTAGATTTAAATGTCGCGTTACCTCTAACTCACTTTATGAGTTTAGAAGGTTTCCACTATCAATTGAGCTTTAGTACCTCAACTGCAAAATGGAAATGATAATGATCATCTCACAAGTTATCATTATCAATGATCATTACCACAAGTTATCATTATCAATGATCATTATCACAAGTTTGAGATGCCAAATAAGTGCTACAGAATGGCTGATACGACGGACAATTTTTTGTTTTCAAATTGCCTTGCCTTGTACCTAATACACAATCAATAAATGGTGGCTAGTTATCTGACTACTGATTAAATGACTGAAAAGAGCTGAGAGCAAAGTAGAAAACCACAGCTTCCCACTCTCCACCCTCACACTCTCCACCTAAAAGAAAACACGAAACGGCGCCCGCATCCCCTGCTCCCGCGCACCCTCCCCTTCCCGGGGCTTAGCCTACGGGGCCCTGCCCCCTTCCTGTTAGCACCCAGCCCCATCCTCACCAGCCTCCCAGCCACCAAGCAGCCAAACATGGCGGCGGCGGCTCCGCTCAGCTGGCAGGCGACTAGAAGTCCAGGGACTATTGCCCTTGTGGAGCCCAAGACCCTTCCAGAAAATCCAGGAGGGAGCCTGCCCCTCCACTACATAGCGACTAGGCCGGCGGCAGGAACGCCTACTGCCCCCGTGACCTCCGACCCTCCCTTCCAAACCATGCCGCTCCCGCAACAAGTACTTCCGGGGCTTCTGACCAGCCCATCCAACCAGAGGAAAAAAAGCGGACCGGAGCCAGTGCTAAAACTACAAGTCCCAGAGAGCCCTGCAGCTGTTTCCGGTTAGACGGAAACAGGACTCGCGTGGTGGGATTGTTTGGATCCCGAGTTCGGAATCCAGTCGCTGAGATGTTTTACTAATGTGTAAAACATTAGAAAGTACAGTGCGCTTGTGCAGGTTATACTCTCTATTTGTGGGTGAGGAAGATTAATTTGAATGACAAACCCCAAACCTTCACACAACACGAAGTATTGGAGCCTGAATCCTGAAGCAAATACAGGGATTTTTTTGTGTTGCGATACGGTATCTTCGAAGTACCAATTGTTAATTAGCTGTTTTGTACTCATTGGCAACCTTACTGTAGTTTTTCCAGCTTCACCTAACTCCCCTATTGCTTTAAAACGTAAGCAAGTTAACCACATACCTTTAAGCTTCATTGTTCCCATTTGTGAAATAAGCATAATAAATATGCCTAGGGTTGCAATGAAGGTTTAGTGAATTAGCATACAAAATACAGACTAGAGCTTGCCAGTGTATGATTAATGGGAACTTTATTGTAAATGTTTTACCTTGTTCTATATGCATTTGCAGGGGAGGTTCTTAGGAAATAAAAAATAGGCATAATAAACTTGCCTTAAGTCCTGATTGCTGGCTATACACAGTCTCCCTTTCAGGCTTCAGTTCCCTTTCTTCTTGAATAAGATAGGATATCCCCTCCCCAGGAATCTCTACCCACCTTAAAATATATCAGCTTAGCCCACCCTCCCATCAACAGATCTGCCCTTCCAGGTTATATATGGAAGTTCAAAAGTGTTTAGAACAATCCTCTGACCTCCAATCTGACTCTTTAAACTCCGAGAACAACCTCTTTTATTTCAGACACTCCTTTTGAGATAGCCCATCCAAAGACAAACAGAATATTTCTACCTATGTCTCCAACCTTCGATTTAGGTCTCCAACCTTTCTACCTATGTGTCCAACCTTCGAATCCAACCTTCAGAATGAATAGGCCGTTTTTGTTTTTGTTTTGTTTTTGTTTTTGATAAAATGGCCTTAGGGGCAGCCTCACTGCCAGAGTTCAGATCTCTATCATTTATTAGCTATATAATTTTAGGCTAGTTAACCTAACACCTGCCCTCCTATTCCCTATCTCTATTATGTAATAGTTAAGTACAGCATAAGTTCTTAGAAAGGTTCTTAAACATATAATACCAGTTTCCACAATAATCCTATTAAAATGTTAACATTTAGTATTATGACTTTTCCTGACTAATTTCCTGTTTCCCCCATACCCACTTTGTACCCTAATCATTCCCTTAATTCTTTTAACATACATTCAGCCATCCTGTGCTTATGTAATTTTTCTAATTTGCCTGTAATACTTGGTAAATTCTTACACATTCTCCTAATCACTCAAATATCTTTTTTCTTTCTTGTTTAATTTTTCTCCTCTTTTTTAAAAGTATAGATTATTTATTTATGGGTACATAATATAATTATGCAGGGGCAGTGAGAGGGTTCACCGTAGCCAGAGTAGGAAGCAAAACAGTCAGATCCATGAGTACCCTGCATCCATGGGGTGCAGCAAGTGAGACAGGGGAGGTCTGCTGCACCATGTGGATCACCTCCAGGGTGTGGATCTAACTCACATCCAAGTGGTAATGCGCTTTAAACCCCACAGCACCACCAGGGAGGGCTCCGAAAAAATAATTTTGCAAGCTGCAATTAATGTTTTATTAATTGTCCCAACCTTTATTATGTAGGATTTGAGATTATCTCCTTTTCACTGGTGAACTATGTCTAGAAATTAATTTAAGTGTGTAACTAGAAGAACAGAGTTCAGGCCACTTGTTACCACTGAATGTCTATAAAGTAGAAAGAGGAACTGAATCTTTAAGGTACACTTTAGTCAGACAGCCAGCAATCTGCAAGATGTGGGATTAACACCCTAAAGAAATCTCCTTAATGTCTCATTTGCAACTGGTTTTTTTAATGGCAAGTTGAATGTATACAGTTCAACAGTAATCAGGCCTTCACTGCTGCTAGTAACTTGTTATGCCCAGTTCCTGCAGCTCCTTATCGCTCTCCTGAACACCTAGTCGGAAGAGTATCCCAGTGTGCTGAGGCAGGTCTTCAGTGCACTGGCTCCCTGCACTCCTCCAGATGTGGCCTTAACTCAGGACCAACAAGCCATAAGCAACATGTGTGTGCAGATTTCCTACAATCCCATGCATAGTGTCTTACCTGATCTCCTCCCCCTCCCTAGCCCCTATGAAGTACACTACATGTAGGTTAAGAATACTAATGAAATTAGATTCAGGCTAGGTAGAGCAAGGTGGAGGCCCCACAGAAAGTTAAAGTGGCAAAAAATAATTATCAAAAAATAGGAATTTATAAGCATGTGCATGTAAGCAGACCACCAAAATCTCAACAGGAAGAGGAGGGGGTGACAACCCTGCATTTTTGGCTATGAATGTTAATCTCTAGCAAAATGTCTGCATTTTTAGTTGCTTTTACCAAGCTACCTCCCCAAGTGTGTATTCAATAGATACAGGCCCCTTAATGAGCTAATTTGGTATAAATGACCTTAGAAATAGCATTTTGTGGGGCCTATTCAGGTGCCTCCTCTTTGTTACTTTCAGGGAGATTTCCTGCTTTGCTATCATTGAATAAACTGTCTAAATCTCATCCCTTGTGCTACGTCCTCAATTTTTGGCATGAGACAAGAACTCAACACTGTGCAACACTCACAGCTAGTGGAGGCCATGCCTTCTGGCTTGAACACTGAAAGAAGGGCATTTTCAAAAACAAGAACAAAGAACCCTGTTCTCGCTTTTATTTTTTGTATGAACCAGTCACTTACACTGAAGATAACACAGAAGAAAAGCGGAATGCAAGGTGTTGCAGGGAAAACTGGGGTGTTGGCTAAAATCACCAGAGACAGAATGAGGGACAGAAATGGCAAATTTATTGAATACCCTGCAAGGGGTATTTATTACCTACACTGCAAAGGTACAAGAAGGGAGAAGTCATAATGTAGGAAGAAGGGTTTGCGACTCAGGCTCCATTTTCCCAGGCTTTGACAAGTCTTCTGGAATGTCTGGTCTTGGGTGTTTACCTGAGGCACTGCTTCTGCATTCCTGGAGCTCTACTGGTCATGGTCAAGGTGATTGGGCTTATTGCTGGATCCCATGGCATCTTATAAATTCCCTTTATCTATTCTAGTCTTCCACACTTGCCTTCTGGGCAAGGAGTGGGAAATTTTTATCCTTAGTAATCCCAACTCTGGGTAACTGATTAGTTTCCTTTCAGTTTATCCTTCCACATCATTAAGACACAAAAAATGCTGACAGTGTGTGGTACCAAAAAGCGAAATAAATTCTCTTGCAGCAGCAATGTGTGTGGAAGTATCTGGAGCCTGGACTCAGACCTAACTTCATGGATTATTCTAGGAAAATGTCACACAGCTGGATGCTGGAGAAACTTCCAAACATGAGACCACTGAGAAGTGGAGTTAAATTTCCTAAGAACCTGAAGGATTCTGCCTCCCAGTCATCTTCACCACCTGTCATGATTAGAGTCACCTTGCAAGAAAATGCAAAAACAGAAACCCAAAATTTGTCTTTGACAAGAGATTTAGTTCATGGGAAGGGTCTGAAGACTGTAAGTTGCTTTTGACATTTATTTCTAAACTTGTCTAAGAGTCTCTTTCAGGAAGACCTAATCACTGTATCTATTTGACTAAGTATATTTAATTTTCCCAGTAAAAGCCTTAATTGAATGTCCCTTCCTCTACAGCCTCCATGTCCTAGCCAAGCTATTTAAAATAACTTCTAATGCCAAGTAAGTAAGTTTCTGTCATGTTGGATCTCACCCATGTATAGAGAAGATATACTTGTTACTATTGAATTTCTGTATGACTTTTTCTCTTACCAAGAAAAAGTGCTTCATTCATTTACCATCCAAGACAACCCTGAGAAGTGTAATTTCCTTTTGTGCCCCAACAATGGAAATGAGCAATAGGCTGCACTGTGAAGCCAGGTACTCCCATGTGAATCCCAAGCTGTGGCCCTCTACCCAATTGGACTGTCAAATCCTTTGCCCTGGGGTATTACAGAAAATTACTATATAATGAAAATACATATACCTCATGTCTTGACAAAAAAGTATGAAATAACAACTACATGCTGAGACAGCTTAGGTAATAGAAACTACAAGTCAGTAGGACAAGTTGCCCTAAGTCCTGTTTGAACATATGGACAAGATCAGAACTTGGCCCACCACACTGACCATAATGTGTCACACTAAACAAAAAGACTAGGCTGGTGATCCTCTCACAATTTCCTATGGGAGAAGGCCGAGAGCCTGCATGCACAGTTGGAGTGTAACCTGTCTGTATACATTCCAATGTAGCCCAACCCAGGACCAGTTACGTGTTCACTGCCCCTCCCTCATGAACCTACCTTTTAAGGATCTTAACTCCCTTCCCCCCCTTTTTTTAAACATATTTATTTACACATACAAAGCTGGGGTACAGGCCAGAGGTGCAGGGGCAGTGAGAGGATCCACCAGAGACAGAGTGGGGAGCAGAACAGGCAGACTGACTTACCACTGAGGGGAGCAGCGGGCAAGCAGGAGAGGTCTGCTGGGCCATGTGGGTCACCTTCCTAGCTGGGGATTGAACTCATACTGAAGCAGCTGCAGCCAGCCTGCAGTGCTGTTTTAAACCACTGTGACCCCAGGGAGGACCAGAATTTTAAGGAGTCAGGTTAAACTCTTTCCTGCAATGGTGTACTTGCACACGAGTCTCTAAGGCCTTACCAGGTTCAAATAGACATGTGCTTTCTGGGGTATTTGATAGGATAAAGAACTCACTTTTATGGGGGTTGGACCTATAACTTTTGTCCAGTGTATATTGTACTGGCACGAAGAAAATACACATGAACATATGAGCTACAAAATACCCATGCAATCTCATGTAATTTCAGTGATTGCAGTTGGTTTAATGCTTTAATGTTTGCATTGAGAGCTAATATACAGTATGAAATTGGATGGTAAAATTCATGTTCATTAATTACAAAATTTTACTTAGTAAGTAAAAGAAAATACCAAGTTGAGAAAGTTACTATGGAAGAAAAGCTTTGTTTTATGACCTCTTAACCATTTTACTGTTCTTTCAATGATAGGGTTGCATTTTCATTTTGCACTGGGCTCTACTACATGAGTAAAATAGGAACAATAGCATCCTTATCTTTTATATCATTTTACACTTCTTTTACAGAGATCACTGGATGTGGTGGTTCCAGGAATACTTTTGAAATCCACAGGCGAGAATCCTCATGTGTCCATTAGCCAAACTCTTCATGTGTATCAAGACTGGGTTCCTGGATAGGACAGAACATGACTTTGGTCTGTGTTGAGTGTTGCGGCATGCAACACCTCCGCTGTACAGGATCTTAGTAACTTTTAAGTTGGTAGTCCAGGCAAGCTAATGACTTTCAAATTGGTAGTCCAGAAAAGCTAACAGAATACTTCCATTAAGTGCCTACTGCCCAAATGCAGTTGTAATCCAGGAAGAAAGGGATTCCACATGTGAACTGCATGTGGCAAAGCTCATCAACTGGAATACTTGTAGTGAGTGACTAGGAAAGGAAGTTTAGATCAAGTGTCAAGGCCTCAGTAGGCCCAGAGATAGCAATTCCTAGTCAAGAAGTAGAAATAGGAAGCCTCTCTGGTGGCCTAAAAAAATAAGTCTCAGCACTATCACACTATAACCACTGCAGCCCAAATTTGACCCATATGGTGCAGCAGACTTCTAGAAGTCTTGTCCAGTGTTTCCCTTGGAAGTGTATTTCAGCAGATCTGCCTGTTTTGCTCCCCACTTTTGTGTCTGGTGAATTCTCTTCACCCCTTGCACCTCTGACCTAGACCCCAATTCAATGCTTTGAATAACTCTTAAAAACAACACTGGAGGGGGCCCTCCCTGGTGGCGCAGCGGGTTAAAGCACTGCACTGAGAAACTAAAGCCACTTCCGCATGAGCGATCCCCGCCTGCCCGGGAGGTGACCACATGGCGTGGCAGACCTCTGCTGACCCGCCCGCTGCTCCCCTCAGCAGTGTACTTCATCGATCTGCCTGTTCTGCTCCCTGCTGTCTCTGGTGAATCCTCTCACCCTCCGCATCTCTGGCCTGTACCCCAGCTCTGTACAAATAAATAAATAAATCTTTAAAAAAAAAAAACACTGGAGCTTTCCCACCTTATTGTCCTTCAAATTATAGGGCAGGTGGCCTTCAAACAACCTGTAAAACTTGAATAACCTTGTCTAATTACAAAAGGCTACAACTAGAGCCTTGTTTACTTTTCTACCTAGATATAAGTTGAGGTGGCTTGCTCCCATGACAGGCAAGCCTGGGATGAAGTTCTTTGCTTGGCACACTGAAGCAGACCAGCTGATTAGTGGCTGACTGCAATAGAAGTGGGAGGAGACATGACAAGTAAATGAAGATGCCAGAACCACCAGCTCCCCTAGCTCTAACACACATAGTACTCTTACATATGCGAACAGTAATTCTTCAGTATCATCTTTCCTTACTTTTTCCATTTCCAATTAATTGTATTCAACATTTTAGTTTATCGTTCTTGAGAACTCGTGTTCATGTCCTTAATCTCTGGTACATCCTACGTAGTTTAAGATCTCCTACAGTTCACTAATTCAGCAGTTTGTCTAGGTCATTGCTTACATCAACACCATTTTAATTTGTAAAAGTTCTGCTTTTCAAATTCTCCTGATCAATTTTAGCAGTTTTTGTTCACTACTTTTGTGACTGCACATTTTGTTCCATTCATTTTACAAATACATTGTTCTAGGTGCTGGAATTTTATGAGTGAAATCAAACAAGGGTAAAAAAGTCCACCCCCTGGCTCTCCCTGGTGGCACAGCGGGTTAAAGCACAGCACTAAGAAGCTAAAGCCACTTCTGCATGAATGCAATCCCGGACTGCTGCAGAGGTGATCCACATAGTGCGGCAGACCTCTCCTGACCTACCCACTGCTTCCCTCAGCAGTGTACTTCAACGACCTGCCTGCTCAGCTCCTCATTCTGGCTCTAATGAAGCCTCTCACCGCACCTGCACCTCTGGCCTGTACCCCAGTTCTGTATGCACAAATAAATGTTAAAAAAAAGTCTGCCCCATAAAGCCTATATTCCAGTAGTAAAAGTAACACAACTGAATATATTATGCAGCATATTAGGTAAAAACTGAAATGGAGAATACGCAAGCAAGAAAGAGTAAAATATGGACCAGGAGGAAGTTGTAGTGGCTCCTTTACATCTAAAATTCTGGTACTTTTAGTCTCTAGTAGTCTAAGTATGTAATGTATAGTCTAGTGGATCTTTGTGAGCTATTTGGTTGACCTTAATTTCCAGCAACCTTAGGGGCCTCCCAGAGTCTTTTAATTAGTTGTAATGCCTACAGTCCACAGGATGGATCAGCAAGTTACAGCTTGTGGGCAGAAAGTAGCCCACTGCCCATTTTCACGATTTGTTTTACTGGAATTCAAACATGCCTATTTGCTTACATATCAAATTTGCCACATTTGCACTACAAAAGCAGAATTGATTGTCTGCACTTGAGGTTAACCCAGATCCTAGTGGTAAACTCTTGGAACTTTCTGGTCTTTTACTTCTCAATTTGATTTTTGCTGTTTCTTATGCATAAATATACACAAAACATTCTGTTAGGGTAAAAGAACCACTTCTCATGACTTTATGATAGCCTCTATTCCTCTATTATAGTAATTTCTTGTAACCACACCCTTTAAATATATGAACATTTTTAAACATCTGCACCTAAGGTTTCAATATCCTCTCCTTTTTGTTTTAATGGTAATTACATTCCCAGTAAGTTTACCAAAATCTTTTTGCATAGTGAATGGCAGTTAGACCTGTAAGAAAGGTTAGTAAAATATAAACTTAAAACATAAACTTTGAGTTTTGTATACTTCAAGTACTAATCTCTTCTCACTACTTTCTTCATACATATTAAATCACTTGATCATAAAAATAACCTTATGAAGTAGGTATTATTATGCCTGTTTCACACCTGAAGAAACTATAACAGAGATGTTAAGTTTTTTTAGCCAGGGTCAGATAGTGGCAAAACCAAGAGTTAAATTCTGTACTAGAGCTTACATCTAACCACATTATAAAGCTTTCTTTAGATAAGTGAACAAAAACTGATCATTACAAAACAGATATATAATTTTATTACTTTCAACAGTTCTTTGCATCACAATGAAAATAAATTAAAATAACACACAACTTTACAAAAATAAATTTTTATTAAAAGCAGTAAAGTCTGAGCAGAAGACAGTACAAAGAGTATAAACAATGTAAACATCACTACATTCAGCTCAGCTGATTGAATGCTGAAAGACAACTCTAAATGCTCTATGTGCCCTTACTAGCAAGATACATTAACTCTATTGTACACAGAAAACACACTCTAGTTTTGATTGGCAAAAAGTATTTTATCGAAGTCGGTCCCAGCGCCAAATGCTGGCGTCATCACAAACAGCTATAAGAATGCTGCTATCCCTGCTAAAACTGGTTTGCCGAATAGCAGCACCACACTTATGATGAGTCAGTGTTGTACATCTAGGGGGGAAATACAACAATGGGTTAAGTAAATACCATTCACACATAATGTTGTATTTAACACAAAACAGTTCATTCGAAATGGATACTCAAGTTACAGAGAAAAAGCATTTAAAAACAGAATATACTTCAGCAAGAGCCTGATTTCAAATTTAGAAAAATCTGGTTCTATTTTAAATTCAAGAGGCACTACATATATTATATAAAGAAAAATATCATGCTATCAAGGAACTCATGAACAATCATTACTTAGAATTTAAAAAGAAACATCTTAAATTAACTCTAAGACAAAGTAAATGTTCCAAACAATTTGAGGGTGCACTGCAGGTTTCAACCACCTCAACACTCTACACTAGCATGGCATTCGAAAGAAAAAGGTAGAAATTTCTGAATACTTACTTGGCTTTATGAGGATCTTCCACTTCTAAATCCCATACATAAAGTTTGCCAACCTGATTGCCCAATGCAAGCATCTGTATAGAAATTATTAAAAACATCAAATTATCAAGGTATTCAAGTCATCCTATAAAATCTAATTTCAGAAAAACTCTAGTCTCTGTTTTGGGTTACTTTTTATATTTCTGACTCATAAGTGTAATTAAGAGCAACTAACACAGTAGTTTCCTCTTACTTATGATTTTGTTCTGCTGTTTTTGTCAACTGCAGTCTAATTATATATAATAAGGTAGTTTTTGAGAAAGAAACCGTATTCATGTAACTTTTACTATATTATTTTTATGAAGGGTTTTAAAGTTTATAGTTACTACACTTTGTTTTACCTTAAAGAATGTAACAAATGCTATATATATTTTAAAAAAAAAGCCCTTTTAAAACTCCTATAGGAATGAATTCCCAGGTAATCTGTTATCGCAAAATCCTAAGCTCCAAATTTCTTTAAAATTTCAGACAATTAGCATTGTATCTCTATTATTCATGATGATTTTTCTTCTAGGCTTTTCTGGGAAAAAGCTACATTAACCAGCTAACATTAATTTTTAGCAACAAATGTTATGTAAAGTAAACCTAACTTTTACTGCTGACACCTGCGAATTTTATTTACAAAGATGATATGCAAAGCCATAAAAGCAGAATAAAAAAATACCAAGGGCTAAAGCAATCAATGCAAAACATTAATGTTAATTCTTGGACAAACAAGATGTATAACACTACAATTACAATGGTTTCAAATCAAACAATTTCAAAATCAAAATATGCTACCTTTTGCCAGAAATCCATAGAAAATCTCATATACCAAATGTCACACTGGCTGTAATCAAATCGTCCAAGAATAGTCACATTGGACTCGCTGGGTTTAATTTTATCTATATCATCTTCCATTTTGCCAGGTTTCCAGCACACAATGGCATTTTCACAAGACTTTAAGAGAGAAATGAGAAAAAAAATTATTTATAGAACTGAAATCTAAATGTTAAAAACAAAGTTCTTTCCTTATGACCATTTTCAAATTGAGAGCTCTTAAAACTTGGTTATCCATCTAAGCACAATGACATACATTCATTCATATTTACAGAGTCAGTGTCCACACTTGAAGACAAGAAGTTTGATTACCAACAGAATCAGACAACACAAGAGCATTACATCATCTGGAATATTCATTTTGGAAGTCACGATTTCTCTTCCAGACTAAACCAAACTCTACTCTAGATCCTCTGACATCCAGAAATGTAGTGTTTTATAGAAAGGTAAAAATACAAACACTGGGTTAGAAAACATGGTTCTGCAATGTGGCCTCTTCTTACTTTGGTGGTTTCATCTTCACCCATCCAACTACCCATTCCACTTTTAATCCCATGTGGTTTCCTTTACCTAGTTAACTATTAAATCTTTTGTCGCCAGAATCTATACAACATTGTGCATGCTTAATAGATCTTACAGGAAAGCTAATAAATTCATTGAAAGGGTCACAGAAACCAAATTATACAAGGCAATAAAAGCAGTGATTTAACATCAAGACAGTGATATGGGAATGGGTAGGAAGACTGAGTTACACCTTCCTCTATCATCAAAACTTTGCACACATGATACCGAAGCAGCAAGCACTAAAGAATGTAAAGAAAAAAAATTGGAGAACACTGGGAACTATTCATATTACTGTGTAAGTCAATGGTTTGCCTACAACAGAGAACAGAGATTCTGCTGAATACCTTACAATGCATAGCATAAAAAAGTATCTTAATCCAATTTAATAGGTCCAAGATTGAGAAACTCTATTGTAATTGAAGAGTGTAGGACAGAATCTACTTAATCAATTGTGACAGCCCAATGGGGTTCACTGGCATTTAAATGACTTTACAATAGGGCCACAGGAAGTTTAGGGAAGGGCCAACATTTTTTTCTTTTCTCTGCATGTTTTAGACTATATAAAATCCCAGGGCTATATGCCATACACTTTCTCTCCTACAATATACCTCAGAGGTCATTTAGTCTGATGACTATTAACTAAGTGTATTATTAAATCATTAACTTGTAGAATTTTCTCAAAGTATTTATCTTGATCTTAACCCTACCACAACAATCTCTGAGAAAGAAGGCTAAGAACACAAAGATTGTAAAGTAGCTGTTCTAAGTGCTTCTTGCTCACTACACTAGTAGAGACTTCTTAACTAATAAAGTCCCCTCATGGAGAACTAAAGCACAGTAAGATAAAAAGAACTTGGCCATGTTAACAGATGGTTGCACTCAGAAAATTATATGGACAGCTTTTTAAAATTACAAATTCCTAGGTCTCGTGCCAGATTTAGACTATCTGAGGATGAGACTTAAGACTATTTTCACAATATTCTCCCAATGATTCTGCTGCAGTCTGATTTGATATTATCAATATAGTTCATTCAGTTCAACTTCCCACTTAAAATGCAAAAATCCTTTTCTTACAGTTTTAAAAGCTTCTGGCTTATTACTTCAGCCTCTAGGTGTCCTGCTAAATACAGTTTAAAAGTCTGAATATCAACAATATAGCAAATCTCCAAGACTCTGAAAGGTACAAATCACAGAATGGTCAAGAATATTTGGACATGAAGGAGAGAATTTTCTGACCTTTTTTTTGGGGTGGGGGGGAGAAAGGGAAGGACCTTATTAATGCATTCCATACTAATGCTGTTTGAAGGCAGCAACTCAGCAATGCTAACAGATGGAGAAATAAAAGCCCTAACAAAAACCTACTCTCTAGATAAAAGATACAGGAACGTGGTTAACCTTGCAAGAAAGAATTTTCCCTCTACGCCAGCCAAACATCACAGAAACAAGTAGACTCACTACCATACAAACTAGCAATGCCCAGAGTCACCGTTCTCAGGTGTTCAAAATGCACATATTCCTTACTCTTCACTACCTTTTCTACTAATCAGGTCACTCATTTCTTTCTCTCGGGCTGGGTTGGTATCAAAGGAGCTCTAGGGCATCAAGATGTTCACAGTGCTAATGCCTATCATGTCAGTAGGGAGCAGTAATGGGCATTCTAGCCCTTATCAGCTGAAGAGATATCAACTGTAGAGAGACAGTTACCAAGTTCAAGCAAGTAGGAAACAGACTCACCCTGCTATTTGCCAATCATGAAGCTGTGCTCCCCTTACCTATTTGAATATTTATCCAAGGAAGCCTGCTATAGAAAATCTAAATAAGATCCAGAATTGTAATATAATACTCAATATATCCAGATATCAGTAATAAAATCACTCATACCAAGAAACAAAAATCTCAATTTTAATGAAGACACACAATAGATACCAACACTGAGATGATACAGGTGCTTAACTATTGACAAGGATATCAGAGCAGTTATCATAAAAAAATGCTTCAGTGAGCAATTACAAATACCTAAAACAATAAAATAAAAAACTATAGTATAGGAAAGAAAATACAAAGAATCAAATGGAAATATCAAAACTTGAAAAAAACTAAATCAAAATTAAAATTCAACTCAAGGACCCAATAGCAAAATATATCAAAGAATCAGTAACTTTAAACTTAGAACAACAGGAATTTTTCAGTCTGACCAAGAGGAAACAGATTTTAAATACAACAGTCTCAGAGATGAAAGGAAAGATTTAACAACATTCAAATCTTCAGTTACAAAAAAAAGGGCGGGGGGAGGAGATGACAGCTAAAAAAGAAGTGCAATAATGGCCTTATTTGGGCTAAATGATGCCCTCAAAAAAAAAAAAAAAAAAACCATAATTATTCTACAGGTTCATCAAAGTGAATGAACCCTAAAAAGGTAAATTCAAAACACCCCTATTGAGACACATTATAGTCAAACTTCTGAAAAAAACCCTCAAAGTAGTTAAGACAGAAAGAAAACCTTATCTATAAGGGAAAAAAAAAATCAACTCCAATGAAGGCAGCTTCTTGTTAAAAAGCAAAAGGCCATTTTCCAAATGTTTAAAGAAAACAACTGTCAACACAAAATTCTATACTAGATGAATACAATATTCAGGAATGAAGGGGAAATAAGGACAATTCTCAGACAAAGGAAAACTAAGTGGATTTTTCTCCAACAAACTTAACCATAGTTACAGGAAGTTTATAATAAGAAAGGAAATGATATCAGAAGGAATTTATAACATCAGGAAGAAAAAGGGAAAGTAAAACGAGTACAGTATTTTATTTTCCCTCTTGAATTGTTAAACTATGTTTCTATGGTTGAAACAAAAATATACGTATTTATAAATTTTGTCCACTGTACATAAATATTTACCAATTAATGTAATAATTAATACCTCAAGGTTCCTGTATAAATGCTCTGAACACACAAAATAAAAGACTGTTTGGTAAGCAGACTAAGAAAACATTTGAGCTGACTTCATGCCATCAGCAAGAAACCCCCAAGGTAACAATATAGGTGGATTCAAAGTATCTTGGAAGAAGATACAGCATGCAAGCATAATCAAAAGAAAACAAAACTGGTTTTACTACAATAAGATAAAGAAGACCTCAAAGTATAAGATAAAGATGGACATTATTTAATGATAAAAGGATCAAGCCATGTTAGTTATAGCAATAAGTATATAGGTACAAACAGAGCTACAAAATGTCTTCAAACTAAAAAAGAATTAAACCACAATTATAGCTGGAGAAGTTTTAACACCTGTCTCTTAAAAACTGATAAAACATGGCCCTCCTTGGTGGCATAGCGGGTTAAAGCACTGCACTAAGAAGCTTAAGCCACTTCTACATGAGTTCGATCCCCGCTTGCCCCGGTGGTGACCACATGGCGCCACAGACCTCTCCTGACCCGCCCACTGCTCCCCTTAGCAGTGTACTTCCTCTATCTGCCTGTTCTGCTCCCCACTCTGTCCCTGGTGAATCTTCTCACCTTCTGCATCTCTGGCCTGTACCCCAGTTCTGTATGAATAAATGAGTATATCTTTAAAAAAATTGATAAAACAAGTAGACAGAAAATCAACAAAGTCACAGAAAAATTCAACCACATCATCAACCAAAAGTATTTAATTGTCAGTTACAGAACACTCCAACCAATAGCAAAAGACATTCTTTTCACGCTCCCATGAACATACTTAAAACAGGGTCATAAAACAAGAAATTTAAGACACAAAAAGCATTATTCTAGAAATCAACGGGAGAGTAAAAAACGCAATACTTAGCAACTGAACTATCTAAACTTGTGAGCTGTAGCTAAATTAGTGCTGCAAGGGATATTATATCAATAGCCCCAATAGAAAAGTAAAGTATCAAACTCACTAATCTGAACTACCCCACTAGCCCAGTGAAAGAGCCGACATAAACTACCTACCAATTTCATGAAACTAGCTTTCACCTGAAAACCCGCAGATTTCAAATGTATAAGGCAGTACCACAAACAATCCTGTACTCATAAACTTTACAACAGAACCAATTCCTCAAACAGCACAAACTACCACAACTTTACTATGATGAGTACACTTTATTAAGGAAATTCAATTTGTTACTTAACCCCTCTCCCCAATTTCGAGACACAAATAACATAACAAAAGAATTCTATCAGTCATTTAAAGAAATGACAGTAATTATACATAAACTCCTGCAGAAAAGAGGGAAAACTTGCAATTGTTTATAAAGTCAGTACTGATACTGAAACCAGACAGACAATACAAAAAACAAAACTTCAAACCAATATTATATCCCACAAATACAGACACAAAAATCTTTAATAAAATATTAAGCAAGTAAAGTCTGCAACATATAAAAAGAAGCATGAACAAGTAAACTTATTCCAGGGATATGAAGTTGGATCAATACTCAAAACCATCCAATGCATTCCACTCCATTTGTAGGATCAAGAACACATGAGCCTAACAACTGGTGTGGAGAAATCACTGACAAAATAAAACACTCATTCATCAGAAAATTCTCCTGAAAATTAGGACAAGAGAGTTCTCAACTTGATAGGTAATACGTAAAAAAAAAAAGCACGCAGCTAATAAATGTAACTGGAAAAGACTCATTCTTTCCTTCCCAGTACCAGCCACAGGCCTGCTCCTAACACTGCTTTCAATACAGGACTGCAAGCTTGCAGTGTAAGAAAAGGAAATTAAAAAGCATCCAATTCAGACAACATAATGTTCTACATAGAGAAATCCCACGAATTTGTCAAAAATTACCTTTAGTTCAGCTAAGTCACAGGATTCAAAGTTAGTATGCCAAAAGCAATTTTATTTCTCTATACTTGCAATGAATATATATGAATGAAAATTAGAAATACCACTTATAATCACTCAAAAAAAGGACATATTGAGCTATATAACTCTAAAAAAGTATGTATGTGACTTCCATGCTTAAAAGTAAAAAAGACAAATAAAAACCAAAGATCTAAAAAAGACATGCCATGTTCATGGACTAGAGGACTAAACAGAATAAAGGTATTAATCCTCCACCAAATTGACTTATGAGTTTAACACAATTCCAATGAAAATTCTCTCCCTCCCCCCAACATGCTATCAAGGCTTAAAAAAAAAAAAAAATCTCATGTATGTATATATATTATTCAGAAACTCAAGTGGAAAAGAGAACTTATATAGGTAAAATACTTCTGAAAATGCATAATAAAGTAGAATTCCAATTCCAAGGCTTACAAAACTACTCTATTTATTTACAACTATGTATATGTACTGGTGGAAGTAACCAAAAAGAAAATCCAGAAAGTCTCACAGAACTAAAGGTACAAAGGTACAAAAGCAATTCAAAGAGAAGACAGTAAGTCTTTCAAGCTGACAACAACTGGATATCAATATGCAAAAAATTAAGATCTACCTAAAATCTCACAATTTAAAATAAAACAAAACTTTTAGAAGAAAATACAGTTAAAAAATTCTTTAGGATTTAGGCTTTGGTAAAGAGCTTTAAAAATATCGTCAAAGTATGGCCCATAAAATAACTTAAAAAAAAAAATCAATAAATTACACTTTGTCAAAATTAAAAACATGTGCTCTGCAAAAAGACCCCTACTAAGAGGATGAGAAGACAAGCTACAGGTTGAAAGAAAGTATTTGCAAACTACATACCTGACACAGGATTCATAGAATATATTAAGAATTCTCAAAACTCAATGTGAATAAAGAAAAAAAAAACAAAACAAAACCAACACAACCCAATTAGAAAATGAGAAGATATGAAAAGACATAATTGAAAAGGATATATGGATGGTAAATAAGCACATGAAAAAGATGTTCAACACCACTTGCCATCAGGGAAATGCAAATTAAGACCATGATGAGATATCACTACACACCTATCAGAACAGCTAAAATAAAAAATAGTGACAATACCAAATGCCGGCGAAGATTCGAAGACACTGGATCTTTCTTACATTGCTGGTGGGAATGTAAAATGGCACGGCCACTCTGGAAAATAGTTTGGCAGTTTCTTAAAAAACTAAACAAACTTAACCATGACCCAGCAATTGCCCTTCTAGGCATTTAACCCAGAGAAATGAAAACTTAAGTCCACACAAAAAGAACAATTGTTTATTAGCAGCTTTTTGGGTAACAGACCAAAAGTGGAAAGGACCAAAATACCCTACAATAGATCAATGTTTAAATAAACTGTGGTACATCCATACCATGAAATGCTACTTAGTAAAAAGGAGAACTACTGATACACATGACAACTTGGATGGCATTGTACTGAGTGAAAAACCAATCTCAAAAGGTTCTCTATGTTCTTGAAATGACAACATTCACATGTCATAAACAAAACTATACACAGACATTGTACAATGTTAATTTTTTGGATTTGATGTTGTAAAAAGTTATAGAAGTTATGTATGCATTAGAGGAAATTAGGTGAAGGGCAATTTGGGACCTCTCTACACTATTATTGATACTTCCTGTGAATCTATTTCAATATCAAAAGCTTTAAAAAGGGGAAAGGGTATAAAACTATACCAACAAAGCCAAGAATAAATAAATTAGGTGCTGTCCAAGAAAATATGAAATGTCCTGAAATCCACATCAAGAAAAGAAACTGGATAATGACTATCTTAAGTGTGCCAATCCTAAATGTTCAGATGATATCAACAACTTCTCTCAATTATCAGCAAAAAATTTGTAAATATATATACACCAATATACTAGGAGCAAGGGCTCGCAAACTCCAGCCCATGAGCCAACTCCAGCTATCCCTTTTTGTATATAAGTTTACTGAAATGACACAAACATACACACACATAAACCACACACACACACTACTGGCTTAAATATTGGTTATTTTACAACATCGGATATCAGAGAACAGTATCACTTGACAAGTTAATACTTGCCCACAAATTTTAATTCATCAGGATGTTTTAAGCCTAAAACAAATTCCACATCTATCAAAATACCATTAGACATAAAAAAAAAAACCCCAGCAATTTCCCTTCTACCATCCAATTTACCAACTGCACAAAAAACCATGTTCCCTGAAAAATTTCAACTCATACAAACAGTGGAAGTACAGCTTAACAGCAGCTACCATACCTTGGAAAGTATCAAATCACCTAACCATCGCACACAATCGACATAATTCCTATGTATGTCTCTGGTAGAAAAGTCAGGAAAGTGAATTTTCTGAGAAATAAATGGCCTGAAATGGAAATGTCAAATGTTAAGTGGAAAAAGTAGTAGAATCACACTAATTTTCATTTTTGGATTTATTTAAACACTGAAAAGTAAAATACATGATTCTTAATTCTTTTATATTTGTAGAAAACTAGATTTCTTATCTATTTACTGAGAGCTAAAGTGTCATTCCACTTATCTTTTTACATTTTTTACATTATCTGCCTCAAATTTGATGTATAAAAATTACAGCTTCCCATCCTATTACACACATATATAATTAATCATTCAATTCTTGTATCCCACCAGTGATAAGCAATTGCATTCCATACTCAGTATTTCTAAGAGAAAAATTCTAAGCTACCTGAGTACTCAAGTCTTTTAAAATTAAACAGTAATTGTCCACAAAAGTCAACATATCTGAATTATTTCAAAAGACAGCCATCTTTACAGGAACAATGACACATCATTCAAAGGCTGCTAAAGATAAGGTAGATGAGTTTTGCTTGCAACAGCACTTTCAAAAAATGTTATCTGACAGAATTTTGACATTTATTAACTAGGACTTTTCCTGTATTTAGGAAAGTATGGCAGGCACTGTTTGCTTAAAGATGCTTATGAGAAAATTACAAAAATGAGTTGCTACCAATTCTATATTTAATTAACAGCATATGTAGTATTTCTGATCTCGTATATGATTATATTTTAAACTGAAATAACTACAGATGAATGATATGCCATGAATCAGAAATGTGTTAGGCATCTCACATGTCCCATTTTTCCTCAGATGTAAAAAGGATGTTGATTTAAGTCATCTCTAACTCACCTAACTTATCTTACAACTCAAATCCTGAAATTTTTATTAAAATTATCAATGATCTGATAAAAATTTTAATGTAGCTACACTTAATTGTTTTTCATTAACATACATAGGTAAGGATAGTTGTAATGAAGGTATTAATAACAGACTGGTCAAATTCTGAAAACAGAATGACTGAACCAAGAATCAGGACATTCAAAAACATATTTAAAATCGATCAAGTTCCCATATATAGTTATCTATATAGCAAGAATTCTGCATTGAATTTTCTGCATTTAATAAAGTGAAAGCATCCTTTAATGCAAAATATTAAAATACCATGAGTAAAATTAAGTCCCCCAACTTAATTACGATTTACTGTCTTGAATTAGAATTTACAGTGCTGGCAAATAATGCTAGTTAACATATTCTGAAGGGTCATTATTGCACAGTTAAGTTTAAGTAACATCAAGCATTTGTAACTTCACAATATAATTTCTAATATGTGCTATGCTATACAGAAAAAACAACAGATGAACTACATAAAACAAAAAATAAGGTCAATTGGTGGTTACCAGAAGGGTAGACAGGTGGTTAAGCTGGATAAAAGGGGCCAATTGTATGAAGGTAGAAGGGTGGTTAAGCAGGATAAAGGGTCAACTGTATGAAGCACAGACTTGGACATTTAGTGGTAAGCTTAACATGGTGAAATCCACATCAAGCAAAGAAATGGGATGTGTGTGTAGACATACAATATATATAAATATCTTTTTATTTTATTTTTGCATAGGAGAACTGGGATGAAGGTCAGAGGTGCAGAGTGGGTGAGAGGATTCACCAGAAACAGAATGGGAAGCAGAACAGATAGATTTTACTGCAGTAGACTGTAAGGGGAGCAAAACAGGAAAGGTCTGCTGCACCATATGTGGGTCAGATCCCTGGCCAGGGATTGCACTCAGGCCTTCACAGTGACAGCTCTGAGCCTTATTAACCTCTAGGTCATGAGAGAAGTCCCACATGTTGGTTTTTAAGGACACACACCTTAAACTTTATTATAATGCTGTGTTTATTTCACGAAACCTTGAAGTGAAAAGTGCTACAAAATGAAAATCAAAACATAGTTTAAAGTGGATCTTGAAAAAGGAGCCACAGGTTAAAAATAAAGGATTTCCATTAGAAATTGGTAAATTTTACAATATATAAGCTATAATCTCTATATATTTTTTAAATGGTGCCTTCTAAACTCATGTTGGGGGTTTCCATAACAATTTTGGGAAAAATAAAACACATTCATGAGGTAGCATATTATTTTAAATACCACAACTGTTACCTGTTAGTTTTATTTGGGTTATAATCATAAGATTCCTTAATTGCATTCATCATTCTCTTTGAATTGATCCTCCAAAGTTTGAGAGAGTGATCCATACCACAGGACATTATTTTTTCACCCAAAAGATCATAATCCTGTATGTAAAACAGAAAACAACAATGTGTATTAAATATATATTATTTTTATAAATTAAACCACCCAATTTTCATTTGACATATAATATAGGAATAATTGTACTTTAAACCCCAACATTAACATTTTGGGTCTCGCCTAAAATATAGGGTTGTTACTACTGCTTTCAAAACTTGGTTTAACTGATTTATCACCACCATAGTTTATGAGCTTATACAAAAGTGGAAGAAAGCAAAATCTTTTAATTCAGTTTTATCTATTCACTTATCTTTAAATACTTCCTTTACTTAATGATGAAGGTATTCAATGCTTAGAGAAAACTATTCTCTCTTTTTTTTTTAAAGATTTATTTGTGCATACAGAACTGGGGTACAGGCCAGAGATTCAGGGGTGGCGAAAGACTTCACCAGAGACAGAGTGGGGAGCAGAACAGGTAGATCGACAAAGTACATTGCTGAGGGGAGCAGTGGGCGGGTCAGGGAAGGTCTGACACACCATGTGGTCACCTCCGGGGCAGGTGGGAATCAAACTCATGTGGAAGTGGTTTCAATTTCTTAGTGCAGTGCTTTAACCCACTGCGCCACCAGGGAGGGCCCTATTCTTTTTTTTAAAATGTTTTTTTGTTTGTTTTTTAAGATGTATTTATTTGTGCATACAGAACTGGGGTACAGGCCAGAGGTGCCGGGTCTGTGAGAGGATTCACCAGAGACAGAGTGGGGAGCAGAACAGGCAGACTGACGAAGTGCACTGCTGAGGGGAGCAGCGAGCAGGTCAAGAGAGGTCTGCACGCCATGTGTATCACCTCTGGGGCAGGTGGGGATCGAACTCATGTGGAAGTAGCTTTAGCTTCTTAGTGCTATGCTACCTGCTGCGCCACCAGCAAGGGTCATAAAACAACTATTCTGACTGAAAATACCTTCAGTTACATTTTTCTTTATCAAACCCTAATCTAGCAATGAAACTGTTATCTTTATATGAAACTATGAATCTTAATCAAAATTTTATTTCATCTGTGTATCTGAGTCAAAACAATTAAGTTACAAAGGTTTACGAGTACTTTTAAATGTATAAAGAAAAGATGTCTAACAAAGGAAACCACATATTTTAAAATTTCTCATGCGAGGTTTACCTGCAATCAGTACCTAGTTGGTCTCTATTCTAACAACTTTATTCCACTGTATTTCACAGATAAAACATTGAGATACAGATATGCTACTCCATCTAGCATATATGGTACATATTTTAGTGAAAAATCTCAAACATCAGTCCTTCTAGCAGGAAACTCCTGTATTACAGACTATCTCCTGCTTTCACTTTAAGAAGTTACAAAAGATTGTTTTACACGAGGACATTTTCCTTACTGATTTGGATATCTTAATCTAATCTAAATTGATCATGAGCACTTTTTTTACAAGTGCCTAAGAGCTTTAGGTATGATTTTTACTGAATTCACAGTTCTAGTTGCTGCTAATTCTCCTAATTTACTCACGTCAATGGCAGTAAAACTTCCAGAGTCAGCAGGTTTAATTTACAGATCTTAATAAAGGAAGGTAGGCTTAGATTTTTTGAAACCAGACAGAGAATGTTACTGCAACTTCTCGAAAATCCAAGTTGACAGGATATCTTACAGTAGATATAATTCTTACAAAAGCATGCAAATCCCAGATAGAAATATTTAATTGTAATTAAAATACCATAGCTTCAAAATATGGTACACCTTTACACTTTATTGAACGATAACTGATAACACTATAAAATCATTAAATAAGCTATATAAAAAAGTTAAGTAAAGCCAAATGTGTAAAATGTGAAACATAACTTAAAACATGTGTCATATCATTATGATAGGTAACATAAAAGACAATACCATGACATTTAAAATGCAACACAAGCACATATACCACTTCCTAAAAATGGGTGACTATATTTCAATTTCAAACGAAAGATGGAAAGTTTCTGAAATCCTACCTGCTTTAACCTTTTTTTAAGATTTATTTTGCATACAGGAACTGGGGTACAGACCAGAGATGCAAGGGTGAAAGGATTCACCAGAAACAGAGTAGGGAACAGAATAGGCAGATTGACTGAAATGCACCATTGAGGAGAGCAGCAGGTAGGTCAGAAGAGGTCTGCTATACCATGTGGGTCACCTCCCTAGCCAGGATTTGAATTCATGCTGTTGTGGCTGTGGATAGCTTCTTAAGAAGTGCTGTGCTTTGTGACCCATTGCACAAGCAGGGAGGGCCCTAATCCTTTCCTTTTATAACTGAGACAGCAAAATAAAAATTAATGTAGTGACTTTAGATTAGTAAAGGAAAAATCACAAGTTCATAGTATTCTTCAGGAGAGTCCTAACACTGGTATAAAGGATAAGAATAGATATAAAGCACAGAGATTAAGTTGATTTACTCCTTCATCTGTTAAGATAAAAATTTTCTGTCATATGAATGAAATGACTACCTGGCAGGCTCTATGAAACAAACCACATATTTTATAATAAAGAGGAACACAGAATTGTTTACTATGTACTCTGCAGCTTTCCACTTACAGCACTTAGAACTTCATCTCTGTGGCCTTCCACACCTCCAAATATTGCCACCAATGTGTCCGTTTGGATATTCCATAAACGTAAAGCATGATCTAGTATAGGAAAAAAAAATTAAGATGAACAGTCATAGGATTTTCAAGACCTTTTTAAATAAATAAAACTTTAAAAGCTACTTTACATAATTATGTAACATGTAGATTTACTAGAGATCAAGGTCAAATTTTCAAGATAAAATATTCATGTTTGTTTTTAAAGATTTATTTATTTATGCATACAGAACTGGGGTCCAGGCCAGAGGTGCAGGGCTGGTGAGAGGATTCACTAGACACAGAGTGGGGAACAGAACAAGCAGATGACGAAGTATACTTCTGATGGGAGCAGTGGCAGGTCAGGAGAGGTCTGCTGCGCCATATGGGTCTCCTCGGGGGCGGGGATCAAACCCAAGCTGAGGTCAGGCTTTAGCTTTTTAATGCTGTGCTTTAACCCACTGCACCACCAGGGAGATGATTTTTTTAAAAAAAAGTTTTATTAATTTATGCATACAAGAACTGAGGTATAGGCTAAAGGTGCAAGGGATGAGCATACTCACCAGAGACAAAGTGGGAAGCAGACCTGGCAGACTGACTGAAATACATTGCTGAAGGGAGCAGCAGGTGAGACAGAAGCTCCCTGGCTGGGAATCAAACTCATGTAGCAGTTGTTGAGGACAGCTTGATAGCACTGTGTCTTTAACCACTGCATCACCAGGCCCTATTTTTACTTTTACATTTAATGTTTTATTTACTTACTTTCATACATTTTTTAAAAAAAATTTGGCATGGTATTTGATTTCTATACACCAAATGTGATTCCCGTAGTTCTCGCACCACTATCGATTTAGTGGTCCTTTTCCCAATGCTTGGCTTAGGGATGCTAATGTAAACACAAGATTTTTCTACTGAAACTACTGTAAATTCTTTTTAAAATTGGATTTCTTCTTTATGTGTTTGTCCCTTAAGAAATCAACATTTCTAAATTAAAAGGACCAAGAGAAGCATTTCTTGTCTTACCTTTACTTACTGACAGGAGAAGATTGGGATCTCTTGGGTGGAATTTCAGCTCATTGATAGCATTTCCATGGCCAACATAGTGCTACAATTAAATTTCAAACATTTCAGGTTTCACATCTAAAAATCAATAAATTCTTTTTCATTAATCTTAGTTTCACTTAAAATGGTATTTCTCAAATTTGATTGCATATTAAAACTACCAAACAAACACAAAGAAAAAAAAAGCTCAAATCACATTTATAGATGTCCTGGTTTGATAAGATTAGTGGAAGCCCAGCTCCTTTAAAGATCCTTAGATAATTTCAATATGTCCCAAGGATTAAAAACTACTAACTTTAAATGATTTATAAAAGTTCTCCTAATATCGTCTTTCAACTATTTCACCATATTGGCTTATTACACGGTACTTTTGACTTGGGTTAGAAAATAAATTCAGTATTTTGTTAATGGTCATTTAGAACTTCTTAGAATAAGGAGCGAGGAAAATAATTTAAAAAGAAAACCTTGCAATTTTTCCCAGTTATTCTTTAATATGTATTACCCAAATGTGACAGGCATCAAAAAACTTTTCTAATTGAAACAATAATCAAAGTACAAATCAAATGAAAAATTTTACAGTTACTGGCTCCACCAGTTTAAAATCCAACAAAAAAAATTTTTAGATAGGCATTTAAAAAAAAAAGCTGGGCTATAATTTCATGTGGCAACCTACCTTTATGCACTGCATTGTTATGGGATTAATAATCCTAATTATGCCTCTAGATCCAGCCACTGCCAGTAGAGGATGGCTTGTATTGCTATCATACGTCCATGCACAAGTATAAAAATTTTCATCAGCCTAAAAAATGTCAGTTAAGGAACATAATAGTTTTTGAAAAGTAAGCACACCAATGATTATAACAGTACATGGAAATCCACTGTGCATTGATACTACCAGATTTAACATCTAAAACTTGTATCAAATAAACACAACCAAGCCTTCACCTCAATTTTGATTACTTAGCTGTTTATCTACTAAATGCTGTTGTGGCAGCTATAAGACAATAAATTGAATGGCCATTGCATACCAATAAAACTTTTCTTATTAAAACAAGGGTCAGGTCCAAGAATTTGCTGACTTTTGCTATCTCTCAATACTTATGATTGTATGTCTCATGATCAAGGTTAGTAATTACTCAATTTTGCACTGTTTCCTAAGTGAGACATCTCAATATGGCAACAGATGATGTATTTCTCTATTATCTAGGGGAGAATGAATGTGTTGGGAAACCCCTTAGAGGCATGAGGTGCAGAGATAGGGAGAATGTCGGGGTTTGTGATTACAAGACTGGTTAACATGGGCTGGAAAACTGACCCGTGTCCAAACCACGGTGTCCTTTTCCATGTCAGCAGAGCTAAGCCTGAATCTTGCCAGTGAATGTGAGACTGGACAAGGATAAATACTAAGAGAATGAGTAATTCATTGTCTAGTAACTAACAAGGGGGTGGGAAGTGTGGGAGGTTTATATCAATAAAAATGAGTTCCCCCTGGCACTAGGGATGATTGAGCTCAGAATGAGAAGCCATGTGTCCTGCTTCTTTTAAATTCTATTTTGTGTCTGTCAGTTCTTTATTTCCAAGTTTTTCCGGATCCCTTTCCTCAACCCTGTTCACCAGAGCTGGTCTCTGGCAGAATGTACTTCTCTTTTCGTATTTGTTAAGTTTTACAAATGGGTTTGGAATAAACACCTTCAAGCTTGAACTGACACTATACCTTTTTAAATCTTTTTCTTTATGCACCCACATATTGCAATAGTTTATTTTCTAAACTACATGGTTTTTTTTTTTTTGGCTATAGGCTGTGATCAAATACTTGGCATGACTGCCAGTTACAGGTTCTGATTAAACCAAATTCAGCAAAATACTATTCTAAAATGACACTATTCTTTAAGTCAAAGAAATGGCAGCTTTTAGTTACTCTCTGCCTATTAAACCTTAAGCCACTTAAACCATCCTCTTACATCCACCCTACACGGATTCCTAGGGATCAGGAAAATGACTTAAAATAGTTAAAATAGTTATGAGAAATCTCTTGGGTGATAGTGATAGTTACAGAAGAGGATATGAATAAAAACCATTATAACTTTAACAAATTCATCAACTTAGAAAAGGTTTAGTGTAGTTATTTAAAATCAATTTCTTTAGCCGACGATTTTAAAACCCCAAGAAAGGATACGTCAGCATCCACATAAGATTGCAACAACCGGATTTCTCCTTGTGAGTGACATTCATATAAGGTAACCTAAAGAAAACAAAAATATAATAAATTTTATTTTAAAAAGAAACAGTGTCTTCAGCTTTTAAACTTACTTTTGTCACAGATACGCATTAAAAATACTACAGAAACTGGGCCCTCCTTGGTGGTGCAATGGGTTAAAACACAGCACTATGAAGCTATCCACAGCCACTGCAGCACAAGTTTGATTCCTGATCAGAGAGGTGATCCACATGGGCTAGCAGACTTCTCCTGACCTGCCTGCTGCTCCCCTTAGCAATGTGTTTCAGAACATTCTGCTCCCTACTCTGTCTCTGGTGAATCCTGTCACATGCCACACCTCTGGCGCCTATACCCCAGTTCTGTTTGCATAAATAAATAAATCTTAAAAAAAAAAAAAAAAAAAACAACTACAGAAACTATTGCCTCAAAAGATCCTTTAAAATTAAGGAAGTCATTATACTGGATTAGAAAGATGTGGTACATATATACAATGGAATATTGCTCAGCAACCAAAAAAGAGAAACACATGTCTTTTGCAGCAACTTGGATGGAGCTGGAAAAGATCATGCTTAGTGAGATAAGCCAGAAAGAGAAAGAAAAATACCGGATGGTGTCACTCATAGCAGGAGTATAATGGACCAGGCGAGAAAATAACAAAAATAATGAACAACCATATACCAGAGACAGAGACATTTTGTGGGGGTGGAGTGGGGAATGGGATCAAAAACGGGGGGCGGGGGGGACGCACGGGACTATGGTGGTGGCACAGGGGTGATTTGGTGATGGGAAACCCGCGGGGATTACAATCGAGATGGAAAAAAAATGTGCAAAATGATGTAAAAATAAACTTTGTAATAAAAAAAATTAAGGAAGTCATTATAAAGTTTAATGCATTATATAATTTTTAAGGTATGTTAAACATTATAATAACAATGTTTTCTATCTTCCAGTCTTATATCTATATTGCACCAGTGCTTCTAAATGATTAAAACTGAGTATCTTAAAGTACAATACTTAATAAGGCATAAATACTTCCTAAAGTTGTGCTTTATCACCTTTCAATCAAGTTCTTAAAGTCTTAGAGAAGGGGCCTGACAAGATGGCAGCAGAGTAAAGAGCTGAGCTTATCCCCTCCATATCTCAAATAAAAGCCCAAACCATCTCAAGGATAACCACATCCTGAATGGATGACCACAGCACACACTGAAGAAAGGGGAAGGAAAAGCTTTAAGTGACCAGTGTTTACAGTGAGGCTGGGACAGTACAACTCCCAAGAGACAGTACAACCCACAAGAGGGAGAAACAGCTGCAATGTAGAACCTCCTACTGACTCAGGAGCACAAGAAACATCAAGATCATTAGTGACCTGGCACTACACAGAGGGTGTACTGTTGGGAGAGCTACAGGCTCTAGGTACAGAGTGAGGATTACTGTTCTGAGCTTGAGACTCTCCATAAAGAACAGCCCAGGGCCTGAAACAGTAGAAAGAAACAAGTTGGATTACTTGTGTCTCCTCAGTTAAGAGGCTACTACTAAAGCCAAGCCTGGGACATTCAAAACATCTACTACCTCACACTTCAGGGCTAACCCAAGAAGTCACAAGAATATTTGCATAAGCCAGGATTTAAGCACTTGTTAACAGAAGAAAACACTCCAGGATAAGGCTCTGAACTGAAAAAGGAAAGAAAGTAACTTTTAGTCTATTGCTCCTATCAACAAGTACAAAGACAACAGTCTGAAAGTCTTATCTCCACTATAATCCATAAAGAGTAAAAATGAACAGAAGAACACAGCAGGCCTCCCTGGTGGTATAAGGAGTTAAGCAGCAGCACTATAAAGCTATACAGCCACTACAGCACAAGTTCGATCCCAGGCCAGGGAGCTACCCACATGGCATATAAGCCCTCTGCTCCCTATTATCAGCCATGCTCCCCCAGCAGTGTATTTCTGTTTCTCTGATCTGCTCCCCACTGTCTCTGGTGAATCCTCTCATCCTTCCATCTCTGCCTGCACCCCAGTTCTTATATGCATAAATAAATAAATCTTTGGGGAAAATAACACAAAACACAGCACAAAAGTAGGCATTTCAATGCAGTACAATTATAAAATGTAACTAGAGAGGGCATGAAGCTCACAGTTGTAACAGCATTTATTTTTTCAAACAGAAAAAATAAAACAGCAAGACCAAAATATGGTACAGCCACAGTTAGATGTAAAGGAGTTAAGAAATACTATAACTGATTAAAAAAAAAAAAAATGAGGGGCTTTAACAAGCAGACTAACACAAGCAAACAAAATGAGCTCAAAAGCACAATGTGAACACACAAACAGGACATCATAGGAAAAAAAATAATAAAGAGTCCTTTGAAATAACCTAAAGAGAAATAACATAGGCATCATGTAGTCCAGTAGCAGAAGAAAAAAAAAAAGCACAAAAAATTTATTTCTGGGGCCCTCCCTGGTGATGCAACTGGTCAAAGCACAGCACTATAAAGCTTAAGCCACTTCCTCTTGAGTTCCTCCTGCCCCAGTGGAGATCCACATGGCGCAACCTCTCCTGACCCGCCGGCTGCTCCCCTCTCTGTCTCTGGTGAATCCTCTCACCCTCTGCATCTCTGGCCTGTACCCCAGTTCTACATGAATAAATAAATAAATCTTAAAAAAAAAAATTCAAGACAGAAGGAAGATTAAGGAACTTAACTGAAAAGCAAAAACTAAAAGAATTTATCAAAACCTAGTTACACATGAAAGAAGTCTTATAGTGGTTATTATAAAGCAAAACAACATACCCAAACCCAAACATTCAAATGGTGGAGAGTAACAAGGTCCACCAGAACAAATTGGATACCAGGTCATCTAAAAAAAATCACACAATTAGCCCACCTAATTCTAACCTCAGCAGAACCTTCAAGCAGAAATAGCACAGCAGATACATAGAAATGAAATCTAAACAGAACATTTAAGACCTCAAAAATTAAAAACATAAGACAAATCAATAAAAAAGAAAAGGATAATGAGTACCTGTATCTCAATGATAACCTCAAGTATACATACTTGACATCTGATAAAAAGTTCAACATCCATTTATGATGAA